AAGTTGTCGAAGGGGTGAATAGACAGAAAGAAGTTCAGTTAGATAGGAAGGGCAGGAATCCGAGAAAAAGTTGTGACAGAGAAGAGACAGCTTGTAGTCAATGCGTGCCTGTATAGGGAGCCAATGTAGTGAGTGGAGTAGTGGAGTCACGTGATCGCGTTTTTTTGCCTTAAGAACAAGCCTCGCAGCAGAGTTTTGAACTTTCTGCAGTTTTTCTATGAACTATATAAAATAAGGTAAAAAAGATTCATTTATTGATCCAAATAAATGAAATTGTGTTTTGATTGCATTATACATCTTCATCACATAAATAAAAGAATTTGAAGACAAGACATTAATAATAAATTATCTCAAACAACCATTCAGTGAGTTCTCTGAGGCAAATCGGGGACTAAATAGTTCTCAGAGGGAGCACGCCAGTAAATTAGTACATATTTGGGAACAAAAGAATTTGTTTATATCTTTCAATCCTTTCCTAGATGGAAAGAATTCGTCCCGAAGGGCCTGCTGCTAAGTATTTGTAATGAAGAGGGTGGGGTGTGTCATCCAAAATGTTTTTATTTTGACAAAAAAATCTTTCTTCAAATATATATTAATGTCAACATATATATTTCCGTTTGCTCATTGGAGAAATATTTTGAAAATATGTTTAAAAAAATTGGGTTATTATTTGCCATTAAATACACAAAAAGCTAACGTGATACATTGGCTTATTTAAAAACTTGAATTAGCTAGGTCCTGTGTTTATTAAACACTAGTTAAGTCTCCATTGCTTATATTTTTAAGTTTTTGAAAAGCTAAGAGTTAAATATTTTAATTGAAACTATAACCCACTTAAAGAAATGTGTTTATAATTTTAATAAAGCTCTATCATAACAAATTAATTATTGAAAATATCGACACTAATGCGCTTCATTACATTTTTTAAACGATCCTTAACTAGTTATAGTTCAATATTTTTTTTATTCCAAGTGAAGAATATTCAGATATTAGAATTATTTATTGACTTTTGTATGACTTGAATAATCCCAAATATTGGTTTTTATGCTATGTAAAATAAGATAATAAAATATTTTAATTTATTTTTTACAAATTAAAGGATTTTTGTTTTGTTTGCATCGCACTCTTTGTATTAAAGTCTTAAAACTTGGATCTGAGTTTTTGTAGTTCACAAAAAGTGTTGGTCTGTAGCGAATTGTTATGTGAAAAATTATGATGCCAGACTAGCTGTTAGATTCATGTAAAATGACTGCACATTGTCTGTAAAATACGGGATATTGAATAAATATAAAAAAAATATTAATTTACTGTCCTTAAAGTACAAATATCCACCTTAAAATGTGTGTAAATTTATTTTAAATATTTTAAATAACCTATTTTTAGAGATTTAAACTTTGCTTTTATTTTTAATTAAAAAATATGATTTCCATGGTCCATAGAAAAATATAAAGACGTGTGACATAAGGTCATCAGTGTTAAATTTAATTGATTCAAATATTCATCTTTTATTGTATACCTTTATTTTTTTTTTAATGTTTTTTTTCAATAAAGTAATATATTACTTGAAGCGTGTTTTATATTAAGTCTAAACAATTTATTTTTTAAAATGTTGCATTTGTTTTATTATAACTAGACATTATGTATAGCACTGAAAACTAATTAGTTTAATCTATCAGCAGCCCAAGAACATTTATTTAATCCACTTTCTAGTGCATCACTGTGCACGTGGTGTGTTATATACTTCTCAAGAAAGATTGTAGAACCTTCTGAAAGTATAAATACAGCAGCTCCACTTGATCCTGGACATGTGCATGTCGTATAACTGTGTTTAGTTAATTTTAAGTCATAACCTTCAGCTAATGTAATTTCTTCTACCACATGTCCAACTGAAACTTGTTTAGGACAACCGTGCGGATGAGATGATATTATACTCAACTTTTCTGACTTATATTTATATTCAATGGTTTCATATATGTTCCACAGATGTTGAGTCATCTTAAAAAGTTTCTCACCAAGATCTACATCACATGTAACACATTTAAGATAACATGTATCACCCTCAATATCACGATCCACAACATGCCATCCATCCAGTGTTACCAAAGGACTATCTTGTCCGTCATAAAATGTACGTGCTGTTGTATCACGTGCTTCTAAATCATCAAAAACTACATGTGTTGCTGTTTTCATGTAAATATGATAGTGTACTTTACTTGGTGTATCAGAATCTTGACATTTATGGCAAGTACATAATGGCTGCTGCACGTCTTCTATTTGACGTATTAACAAAATTATCCCTGTACCAAGAGTCATTACATCACTGCCACGCTTATCGTAAAAAGGATAGGGTTGAGTGGTGTTTGTCCAGAATTCAGGTCTCTCTGTGCTAATCATTCTAACAGCTACTCGAACTGTGAGATCAGCCAAACACTTTACAATCTCAACCAAATTATTATCATGACAACCTTCAGGCAAATGGCTTATATTGAAATCATCAACAGGTACAAACATAGCGTGTCCGGGATTTTTTTTACAACTTGATAAGTGAGTGTGAATATCTACTTCACCACTTTCTTGAGTTCCTGTTATTAAAAACAATATAAATATTTAAGACAGGTATGCTTTTAAAATTACTATTTTTGTCAATATTAAAAATTTAAAATTAACAATAATCTTACTCAAACTTTTACTCAAACAATCTTTTTTTATATTTGGTGATTATTTTAATAGACACAAGTGCAATTTATTAATTTTTATCTTCTTCAAATGTTATAATAGTAAAAATAAAAACTTGAAATGAACTCATATACGTAAATTTCGTTACGTATTATACATATTTTGGCATTTCTATTTTCAAGCAACGTTTAAATTGAAATCTGTATTGTATTTTATGATAATTCACTTTTACAAAATGCTAAGATTGTAAACTATAACGTATCTCATAAACAAGTCATTATTGTCCCTATCTCTTGCTAACTCTAAATCCAATGATTTTTGATAATGGATGTGAGATATTTGATTTACTGGACGGACTATAATTCCGTATGTTTTATTTGTATAAAGTATGGTATGTGCTCCTGTGCAAATATTCTTTCAGAAAGACAGACATAAAATGGTTCTATAAATGGAATATCATTTAAAGTATCTGTATGATAAAAATGTCGTTAAGCTGACTTTTTAAATTCCCCGCATCTACATTAGAAATAATATTTTCAATTTTTAAACAAATTATTTTAAATTCATGCATGTGGTATTTAAAAACAATAAAACTTAATATTAAAATTCATTGGTTTTGAAAAATTTGAAATTCCAAGTTAAAGCCTGAATGTTAATTAGATTTTACAATATTTTAAAAAATGGATTTTTTTATAGAGGATTTTTATTATGCTATGTGGACAATTTAATATCATATTTATTAAAGGTGTTATTTCTTGAAAGGTGTAATTTTAAAAAGTGTTTTTTCTAATGTTAAATAAGATAATAAAAACTCTTATATATCTTAATATTACCTGATTGGTTTATTTCCTTCTCCATTTCTTGTAACTGTTAGCAGTAAATTGAAAAAATAAAATAAACAAACAATCTATCTATCTATCTATCTATCTATCTATCAATCTATCAATCTATCAATCTATCAATCTATCTATCTATCTATCTATCTATCTATCTATCTATCTATCTATCTATCTATCTATCTATCTATCTATCTATCTATCTATCTATCTATCTATCTATCTATCTATCTATCTATCTATCTATCTATCTATCTATCTATCTATCTATCAATCTATCTATCTATCTATCTATATATCTATCTATCTATCTATCTATCTATCTATCTATCTATCTATCTATCAATCGATCTATCTATCTATCTATCTATCTATCGATCTATCTATCTATCTATCTATCTATCTATCTATCTATCTATCTATCTTTCTATCATGTATCTATCTATCATGTATCTATCTATCTATGTCATCTATATATCATTCAATCTATCTCTTTCTATCTATCTATTTATTCAATCTATCTATCCGTCTATCTAGCAATCTATCTATTTATCTATAGCTATCAATCTATCTATTTATTTATCTATTTATCTCATATACTGTTTAAAGATACAATATTTAATTTTTTTTTTAAAAAGCTTTTTCTTATATTTATTATGTTATTATTTATTTTCATAATTGTATTTAAAACAACAAAAAAACACTACAACTGTCACTAACCTTTTTTTCTGATTTTATTTTGAATTTGGGATTCGAAGCTGTGGCACTAAAATTTAAACCTTGAGAATTGACACCAGAATGAGCTGGGCTGTTAAGCAACACCAATTTAGTGCGTCTTAATGGGCATAAGTCATTCATCAGCAACACAGGAGCACCACTGCTTCCTGGACATGTAGTTGTGTTATATTCAAGTGATGTTAATGAAAGTAGCACATCACGTTTCGTTTGCGAATTCTTACATTCCCCAAAACTGATGCGTTTAAAACTGCCATGCGGATGAGATATGATCACAACAATTGGTTCATTGATTCTTGGAAATTCTCTATACAATAAATTGGCGCTTTCTAAATTTGTTTTTATTACATTGGCTAACTGTTGATCACACGTGACACATTCTACAATACAAGCGTCACCAGAGACACTGCGATCAGAAATTGAGACTCCGTACAACCTTTTAATACATTGTCTATCATCGTCGTTGTAATTTAATTCAGCTGTCATTTCCTTTGCTTCCTCGTCATCGTAAAGGACATGCGTGGCTGTTGCAATGTAAACTGAAAATGTTTTGACTGTTGCCATGCCATTCTTCTTGGCATTTGTCATACATTTCTTACATCTACATTGATGTTTTGATTCATTCACGTCATGCACTACACAACCAGTTCCAGTAAATGTGTGTTTTGTTCCTCTATGTTCAAACAATTTTCTATACAGTTCTGGTCGGTGGTGGCTGACAAATTCTACTTTTAATCGAACTGTCAGATTTGCTATTGTATCTATATACTTCAAAGTTTTTTCAGTTGGAATCAGATTAGATTCTTTACAATAACGTTCTGGATCTGATTGAAAGTCTTTCAATTGAAAAAATCCTTCGTGCCCTTGTTTTTTTGTACAACTATTCCATTCCATTATAATACTAGCTTCGCTCATCTCCGACAATTCTTGATATTCAGGATTTTCTGAAGTAAAAATATAAGACAAAATAAAGTTTTAACTTATTTTTAAAAGCCATGACAAATATGTACTTGGTCAAACTGTGAGGACATGGAATATTAACTTGCGAATGGCGACAAAACTAATGAAATGCTTGTTTTGGCTGTGAGTCGTTAGAAGTCATCACAACAATAATTCATAATTTAATACAATAATAACTTGAATTAGAAACAGAACATATTGATTATTTCATTCACAAAACGTTTACACAGTCCCTAAAATTTAATCACATACAGAAAGTATAATATTTAACCCCAAAAAAATATTTTAAATGCTTACCAAATTTTGGTTTCGATTCCTCAATATTTCTTTGAAAAAAGAATTTCCTGCTAGCTGAAAATATTTATAAAACAAATCAAGCGATATTTTAAATGTAATCTACAAATTATTAAACTAATACCTAAGTTTAGATGTTTTATTAAAATTTAAAACTATTCCGTTTTCTTAATTACTCAGAAAACTGATTATCCGCTGTGCTAACATGATACTGTTTGTTGTATTTAATAAAAATTGCAAGTATAACTATATGTATATAAAGAATTAAAATAACCAAGGACGCTTCTGAGAGAAGTGTCTATTTAGAATATACATTTTTAATATGCAGACAATTTCATATTAATTTTGTTTTATAAATACTGAGATTGGCAATATATATATATATATATATATATATCAATGAATGTGTGTGTTATTTAGATCACTTCAATGCTAATTTGAGTTTTGAAACAAACTTTAATTTTTTTTTTTAAATAAGAGGCTTGTTTTAAATTACTGATCATAATTTTTTGTTTCAAAATAAATACTTGTTTTTAATAATGTTACCTTCATTTACTGGTGGAATTATGGGCTCCATGAAATTTTCTTTCTAGAATAAAGATGAAAATTCACTGAAAATAATAAAAAATACACAAATTCAAACATGGAATGTGTATATTATTTGATGAAAGTTTAATTGCAAACCTGATGAGGTGAAGAGACTGTCGTCTCATGTGGCTTTTTTTTGTTGTGTTGAACTTTCTTGTGTAATTTTCATTTTTTTTTTAAATACCATTTGAATTAGAGACCGACCGAAATTGATTTTATGATTTCGGCCGAAGCCGAAAATAGGCCGAAAGTTTAAAATGACTTTCGGCCGAAACCGAAAAAAAGGCCGAAAGTTACAAATGAATTTCGGAGGAAACCGAAGCCGAAACCAAAAAAAAAATATTAAGATACTTTGAAATTCGTTTCCGGATACAGTCTGCATACATCGAAAATGATGTGGGAAAGTATAAAAATTTACATTTTAAAAAAAAAATGAGATAATCGGGAATATTTATAAATAAGCATCTAATAAAAGGGTCTCAAACTCGCGGCCCGCGAGCCATTTGTCACCAGCAAGACGATATTTTGCGGCCAACTACATGACAGAAAAGTTTAGTGTAAATGCGCCGGCCCGTTTCCCCATTCTCATATCTAGAACGTGACCATACGCGACAGTTCAGTCGAATATCACTAACTAGTCTAATTCTGATATTTTTTGTCAAATTTTTCTATATATGTTTGTATGCAACAGTGAGTAAGTGTATGAAAGTGAATCCCAGTTCTTGAGAACCCTTAATGATTTTATTGTTATTTTTAAAGGTTGAGCAGATCGTAACAGTTGTACTCGCTTTTTTGTGGATTACTTGATGCGGCCCACTCTAATTCAGACACGACAACCTGCGCCCCCAACCCCCGATGATTTGAGTTTGAGACCCTTGATCTAATGAATACTTTGGATTTTACCATTCTAATATACAAGTAATTTAAATTGCTTTAATTTTTTTTTTAAAATTAGTATGGAAGGAGAAAATTTGGCAAAAATTTGGGGGGGGGGGGTAGGGAATTAATGCAAAATATTTTTTTTTTTTAAACCGGGGTCTTTAAATTTTTTTTTTTTTTTAAATTATTTTTGAAGGGAAAAATTTTGAAAAAATTTGGGGGGGGGGGGGGTAGGGAATTAATGCAAAATATTTTTTTTTTTTCAAACCGGGTCTCTAAAATTTGTGGTTCTAAAAGTTCGCTTATATTGTTTTTAAAGATCGTTTAGTTTGCTGTTATTGATCGGTTAAATTGTTCTTAAAGATCGGTGAGTTTGTTCATAAAGATCGCTTAGATTGTTCTAAAATATCGCTTGTTTAATCTTAAAGATCGCTTAATTAGTTCTTAAAGATCGCTTAGTTTGTTGTTAAAGATCGCTTAGTTTGTTGTTAAACATCGTTTAGTTTGTTGTTAAAGATCGTTTAGTTTGTTGTTCAAGATCGTTTAGTTTGTTCTTAAAGATCGCTTAATTGTTGTTAAAGATCGTCCAGTTTTATTTAATGATCGCTTTATTTTTTCTTAAATATCAGTTAGTTTGTTCTTAAAGATCGCTAAGTTTGTTGTTAAAGATCGTCCAGTTTTTGTTAATGATGGCTTTATTTGTTCTTAAGGATCATTTAGTTTGTACATAAAGATCGCTTAGTTTGTTTTTAAAGATCGCTTAGTTTGTTGTTAAAGATCGGTTAGTTTGTTCATAAAGATCGCTTAGTTTATTCTTAAAGATAATTGATTTTGTTCCTTAAGATCGATTAGTTTGTTCCTAAAGATCGTTTAGTTTGTTCCTAAAGAACATGTAGTTTTCTGTTTAAGATCGCCTAGTTTATTCTTATAAATCATTTAGTTTACTATTAAAGATCATTTGTTTTGATCTTAAAGATCATTTATTTCGATCTTAAAAATCATTTAGATTGTTCTTTAAGAAAGCTTAGATTTTTCTTAAAGATCGCATAGTTTATTTTAAATATCGTTTAGTTTGTTTTTAAAGGTCGCTTAGTTTGTTGTTAAATATCGTTTAGTTTGTTCTCAAAGATCGCTTAATTTGTTCTTAAATGTCGCTTAGTTTGCTGTTAAATATCGCTTTCGCTGAGTATTAAAGGACCGAAAACCTGAGTCAATTTCGGCCAAAACCGAAGAAAAACCGAAATTTAACTTTTCTTTCTCGGTCGAAACTGAAGTTAAGCCGAAATTTAACTTTTCAGTTTCGGCCGAAACCGAAACTCGGCCGAAAGTGATAAAATGGCTACATTCGGTGCCAAAACCAAAGCCGAAATTCGGTCGGTCTCTAATTTGAATAGATTTTTCTTATCCCCCCCCACTTTTTTTCCTTTTCCCCCCCCCCCCCCCAAAAAAAAATAATAATAAATTATTTCATATTTGTGTCCTTCTGGGCTAGAATATATATATAGTGCTTTTATCTCAAATATTTATTTTTTTAACTAAGAAAAAGAAATCGTAGAAATTTACAGAACTTTACAGCAATGCAACTTGCGTTTGGCTTCACAATCATAAATTTTTGCGCAAAAAAAAAAAAATCTAACTAACATAGACAACTGTACGTTTTCAATACCTAACTCACATCAAGTAGTTCTACATTATTGACTTAATTTAATAACGCAACTTCAGCATTTAGTTTGACTTGTCACAACACACTTAAATCTTTGTTATTTATTGTCGTACAATTTACTTGGTCAATATAACAGTCTGATAGGTGTTGCCTGATTAAAATTTTTTTTAAAGGATATTTACTTACATTTTGAAGAAAGTATTGCGCTGTTCAAAAGTGTGTGTTTTTCCTTTTGAATCCTAAAGAAAATATTTAATTTATACGTTTATAAGACTCTTTAAATGACCAGAAATAGAAACATTTAAATTACCAGCAAATGCAAATATTTAAATGACTGGTATATCCAAATTTTTAAATGAACATTGTATTAACATTTTTAATGACCAGTATATTAAGTACTGATGCATTTCTCGAAAATAGTAAACTGAACTGTATATTGATATGTTGGTGCGATATCATAGAATTAGTTAGTGAAATAACACTAATATGATGACAATATTGCAGAATCATATTTAAACTTGACTGTTATAAAATAATAGCCAGTGACCAAAACAAAGTACTTATGGGTGTCTCTTAAAATATATGTTTATTGTACATGAAGCCAGTTCGTTGTTTACTCGTAGTTTCCAGTCAACACAATATATTTAGATACAACATAATCAATGGGAAATCTGTCATGATCAATTATATTTTCCAACAAATTAATTTCAGCCAAATCCACAACTATCTAACACAATATAATCATATAGGTACAAAAAAAATGTAGGGTGGGATTGAATGATTTAAGTACGGTAATCGTTGATATTCAAAATCAAATGTTATTAGAATCCAGAAAACCATATATAACATACGAGCAGTTTTAATGATTGCAAAGTAGAACAAGTGACTCTTGAATAAATCTAGAAACGGTCAATACATGAGACTAGATAATCCTCTGCAAAAGTATACTATGCAGAGTTACATGAAGATGCACTGATGTTCGTATAAACCAAAAGATATTTCAAGTGTTTGAATACGTTTAGCTTGGTTATATAAAAAAAGAAGGCACGTAGAGCGGTGAGAGGGTTTAGGATGAGAGAGTGGTGAACAAAGGTTGAGTGTTCGAAGCCAAAGGCCAGATGGCTCACAGGTCTATCAAGAATGTGAAGGATTTAAAATTTAGAGAAGGATTTACATCAACATGGGTCAAATCAAGTTGGGGAAAGCTGGGATGTGATCAGAATGGAAAGATGTGGCAGTGATGGCCACGGCACTGCATCGATTGTTGTGCAACTGATTATTTATAAATACACACACAGAAATATACATAAGCGCCCATAGAAAACTTTCTGGGGGGGGGGGCAGAAAATCAATTAACTTTCTAGGGGGGAGGGCAAACAATTTTTAGTAATGTTTTAAGGTAGTTTTAATTTACTTTAGCGTATTTGTATAGTGAACGAACGGACAGGACATCAGCATAGTTACTTTCTCTTTATTTTCTCTTTACTGTAATAATTTTTTTTGTCTATTTTTGTCTAAAATTTTTTTATCCAATCAATCCAGGGAGGCAAGTGCCCCCCTTCCATCCCCTGCGGGCGCCCATGCATATATATATATATACCCATATTTAAATATATGTATATACAATGCCTGTATCAAACACCCCTGATATCACAGTATGCTGAGCCGTTGTCAAACTCTTGTTTATACTAGATTATTATATTAAATTATTTGAATTCTTTTTACAATGTATGTTATTGCAAAAAAAAATAATATGTTTTTTACTTTTATCAGTGGTTAGGTTATTGCATAATATGTATACATCATAATTGACAGTACTGTCGCGCCTCACTTTATAAGCGCATATGCATATGTCAGCGATGCATCGTACTAGCAAAAACGCATTGCTGGTATGGCAAAGGAAGATATGTTGGGCATACATACAGATATCATAATTAATTCTTATTAATACCTACACATGTTTTTTTTTAAAGTTTAGAACAGGCTTTGTGCTCTGCCTGAAAGTTACGCAAGTATATGCAATCAGATACATATTTCGATAGGGAAATATACAATAACAATGGTTTACTATTTCATTAATAAAATGTTCTAGAATGATATACATCTTTCATAGATAGTGAGCTTTCAAGATTAGATTAATAATAATGCGAAAGTATCAAATAAACAAAATCAGATCGATTTTTAGTACCACACACCACGAAACGGTCTTTACGACCTTCGGCAATGGCTGCAACTCCAGGTTAAAAACCGCTGTTCTAGTCAATTGTCGGACGTAGACTCTCTTAACTTAATGGGGTTGGAATGTTTCGCATTTTCTTGACTTAAGGGCAAACATTCCCTTGCAAAGTATGCGGGAAAGTAGTTATTGAACATATATATATAGTATATAAATATTACATTAAACTTCTACTAGTATTGTATGGATTCAAGGGGTCAGCTGATTGATGTTAATTAAGGTAGGAATTTTTTTAGTCATTAGTTTCCTATAAAGAAAGATTCTTACAAAAAATATATTACAGGTGTTTAGAATAAAATCTTTGGTTTCGTGGTTTTCGACGAACTAGATTTTTTAAAAATATAAAATGGAATAATATGTAAGCAAAGTTTTAATATTTTATCACTTTAGAAATGGGTGTTACAAACATAGCTTAGCATACTGATTATAACATTTTAAATACATAATATATATATAAATATATTTATATATATATATATGTATATATATATATATATTAATATGAATTATTTGCCTATGAACTAACCTTACATAATATGAACGAAAAGACTATCTACAAAACTGGCAACAATTCCGGATTTGCACGGGATTGCATTAGGACCCCGATCCTGGTAGAACCCCAATCCTATTGGGACCAACATCCAATTCTGACCCCGATCCAGGCACAATCTCTTTTCCGGATTTGATACCGTTCCCGGTTGGATCCCATTTTATTCTGGCACCGGGTTCCATGGGGAATCAAAATCCTTGTGGGATTGCGATCCCGTCGGGGTATTGATCCCGTTGGGATCCCGATCTCGGTTTATCCCGTTAGGATTTCCTTCTCTGTGGGATTCCGTTTCACCTAGGGACTCTATTTTCCGATGGTTACCTTTCCCCGGTACAATACGGATCCACGTTTGATTGCAATACCCAACGGGATCCCGATGAGATCACGTGACCGATAGTTTTCAATTTAGTGTTGGAAATCATTCCCCATTAGGATCCTGTTCCTTTAAGGGATCATGCTTAATGCGATTTGGTTCAAAAAAGCTTTAAGATTTTATTATATATCACAGTAGAACAATATACAACCTTCTGGAGCATTCTAGATTCAATTTAATATCCTCATTGAAACAGGTAAAAAATTACTTGTCTCCTTAATTTTTTCTCAAATGCGATATATTATATAACTTATAGAACTACTAAAACTATAGTACATTTGAAATGAAATGTGGGCTCCGATGGGGGAAGCATTTAATAAAGTATCGTTCAAGTTATGTCCGAGATGGGGTGGGGGCCCTATAAAAATTATTATGATAAATTACAGAATTTAAATTTACATTTTTTCCCATTTAAATCGATTTAAAAATAAAAATATGTTACGCACTGCCTTCTATTGTGAGAAATCAATCTCTTGTTTTAAGTTATTGGCTCGTTGTAAACAGTGCCTAACAAAGGAAGATACCATTGATAAATGCAATAGCAGAAATACGACACTGAAAACAGTACTAATTACAATTAATACGATTTATTTAAGTATCACTATAATTACAAAACAAAAGAAATATAATTACAACTCATCAACTGACCGAGTATAGTAGATCTCGTACCGGTACACAGTTAGTACAATGTGCCTATTAATAATGTACAATGACAAATGGGAATAAACACACATGAGAACACACAGAATAATAAAACTTGTCTCGTAAAGTTAAAAATATATCTGAAATCCCCTTACAACTGCTAAACCCCTTATTTTTATAGTGGGTCTAACGACGCGCCCAGAAACACCTTTGACGTTGTTTACGTTTCTCGTTAAATCGAGAACGTTCCACAAGATACTAGGAGACAAACTTATTATGTAATTGGTAGTCGGTAATAAACACGACTGATCAAGAAAATAAGCCGCCCATCTATGAACGTAGCGTCTACTAGGAATCTAATTTGTGTTCAAGCAGTTCACGCATGGGGAAAAGTGTCCTACATAACACCATAGTTATAGCTTTTTTTTAAATTATTGAACTTTCTTTAAAATTCTAGACATTTCAATATGGACTAAGAAGTATAATGAACAAAGCTCGGCTAGGATCCATAAATTCACATAGAACCTGTACAGTTTTCTAACTCTTTTTATATAGCTTAAATAAGAAAAAAATCTTGGGCTCTCGGCCCCGGATAAATGGTTAGTATAATTTCTGTATCCCTCGGTATTTGAATATGGATGATTATGTGCGTGTGTATTAAGTTTGGTCAAGATCCATCCATTCATGTAGGAGTATTAATCCTATTGATATGTATATAGCTTATATTAGAAAACGCGAAATGGGCCCTCGCCCTAGAGGAAAGGATATAATGAGATCAGTACCCTTCGGTTTTGAATATGGATAATAAAGCATATTATGTGTTCAAACTTTGGTCAAGATCCATCTACTTATGTAGGAGTATTTGTTTCTAATTATTTTTATATAGCTCATATTAGGAAAAAAATTCGGGGTCTCCAGCCCCTAACGGAATGTTATAAAAAGTTTAAAACTCCTTAAGAGTGTCCTTATGGATGATGGATTTATGTGCCAAGTTTGGTCAAGATTCATCAATCCATTTAAAAGACTTTGTGCAAGAAACCCACAAACCCACAAACAAACTTTCACTTTTATATATATATATATGTATATTTATATATATACTAGCGAGTACCCGGCATGCGTTGCCACTCAAGGAAAGAAAGTGTTTGCATGTTATGTTTCTTCAAGAGCTTTTAAATACTCAAAGTTTTTCTTGTTTTTCCATCTGGTATATACACGAATAAATCAGAAGATTTTTCGACGCGAGAGCAGGCCACATACATCTGTCCATGAGCGAAGCATGGGTTTTCCAAATTTAGTCCGAAAACTTGTAACTATTGTCCCTGTTTTTTGTAGATAGTCATTGTAGACGCGTGTCGCATCGGAAACTGTAGGCGTTTGAATTCAAATGGCATATCTGTTGGAATCATTGGGGTGAATGGCAAAAGTACATCACCTAGTTTAAATTTTCCATTTAAAATAGTAACTTCAATGGAACCAATTTCGGAAGATTCATTTGAAAAAATGTACCGTACCTAATGCTTCGATATCAAAGTGCGTTTCTCGTTGCAAATCAAGAGCGAAAAGTTTGTTTGCAGATCGATTCCGAGAGGTCATTCCCAACTCATGAATCATCAATCGATATGAATAGTATTTCATGGCACTGTCTTTCTTATTCGAATTTCTCAATTTGATGTCAAAATGATATCCATCTTCTCCTTGCCAAAATAAAATAGGATATTGCAATCAATCGTATGAGCGATGAGTTTCTGAGACTCGCTGAACATCAACACTTCTGCGATGAAGAATTATATCACTTGAGTTAAATTCTTTGCCAACTATAATGATCGCCACTTCATCAATTGTTGGTGCATTGTATTGTCTTTCATGTTGGCCGACAGGTCTGCTCTAACTATGACTTTGTATTCATCAGTCGGCATCTTTTCAAGTGCAACTCTATACATTTGAATTAATTCGTTGTGTTGCAAAAATAACGTTTGCATTGCAGCGACAATTTCTCGTTTAGTGACCGTATTGATATGACAACGCTGATCGATTTGCTCATCAGTATTCCCCATGATATCATTTGAAGACATTTGTGATCTGTCTTTGGCATTGGCATCAGAGATCCTACACGATGGTAAATTTGGCCTTTCACTTTACTTTAAATGTTGGCATGTAATTCTCGCGCACGATATTTGTTGCACCGAACGATGTCATTTGGAAACATGAATTGCATTTGCGTATGTTTGCCAAGAAATGTTTCGATTGGCTATTGTCACCTGATACCAACAATGATAATGGTTTTGATGGTGAATGTAATTCTCACACGTTAGGATCTCCCATCTTTTTACATGAAAACCTCGCACAATAGGTACGTTCATTGTTGGCAGGAGATTTCCAGTTGTATAGTTTCTCATTAATTTATAAATCGTAAATTCCAGCGGTAAAAAATGACCATAGTTCAATATCTACGCTGTCAAGTGTGTTATTTAATTACTTGAGAAACCATCGATTGGTGTAAAATGTATTTACATAACACAAAACAACTCCGAAATTATAAGACTCTATTCAAGAAATACTCTTAGTTGAAAAAAAAACGCGATTTCGATGTCATTTCCGATTCTAAAATGCGTCACAAAATTCAAGCTTATTTATACACATAACAAAAATACTCTCTACACTAAAAATGTAAAAACGTGTTTTCTCTGCTTTACTACAAATGAGTCATTTACAAGGGCGGTAGTGTTGATATCTTCGTTATAAATTATATTGTTGAAGCTCATTTAAGAAAATAAATTGAATTTAGGGTCCCCAGCACTAATTGGAATATTGTACAATGGATGTACTAAATGTGAAAAATTTGCCGGCGGATTCAGCTACTTCCACACATGCAATAGCTCTGTTTGAAATTATAGTTACAAAGCTCTTAGAAGAAAATATAAAATTATATAGATAATAGAAGTGTGGAAAACGAATTTAGGACCCCCCTCCACAAATGGAATATTATAGAATTGTTGTATTACTTCAGAAACCTACTTAATATGTCACACACTCAATTTAATATCACTATTAGTATTTGATTAAAAAGCTATCCATTCATGCTTTAGTTCTGTTTGAAATTATAGTTGTATAGCTTAAAATTATAGTTGTATAGCTTATATAGAAAAAACGAACATAGGACCCCTGGCTAAAAACGGAGTATTTTAAAATGGTTGTAATCATTTAAGAAACCTTTGCGGGCGGGCGCGTGCACAACATCTCTATAAAATTCTATCGTATTCTAATAATGTAGAGGAGCCCATACGGAAATTATTTTTATAAAGCTCCTAATGTATGGAGAAAAACACGAATTTGGGGCAAAGTCCAAAAAAACTGAATATTTTAGAAGGGTTATAATGGCTTAGAAAAATGCTCTGGCTTATGGACAACAACTCACCTCAGTTTTATCGCAATCGCTTGAATGATGTAGGAGCGCATACGGTTTGAAATTATATTTATATAGCTCATTTTGTAAGAAACAAACATAGGGCCCCTGGCTCAACACTGAATATTTTAAAACGGTTGTAGTAATTTAAGAATTTTTGTGGGCGATAGATCAACATCTCACTAAATTTTTATCGCATTCTGAAAAATGGTATAGGAGCGCATAGAAAATTATTTTTTACATAGCGCATATAAGAAAAAAGAATTTGGGTCAATGAATGGTTATGTTTATAGATAACAACTCGTCAAAGTTTTGTCGCAATCGCGTGAATGGTGCAGGAGCGCATACGGTTTGTAATTATATTTATATAGCTCGTATAAGAAAAAAACGTAAATAAGGCAGCTGGCTAAAATTGGAATATTGTGAAAAGTTTATAATTATTGAAAAATCTTTGCGGCTGTGCTTCCAACGTCTCACCAAAGTTTTAAGTTTTATTGCAATCGGATAAATGGCGTAGGAGCGCGTATGAAAATTATTTTTTATAAAGCTCATAGAAGAAAAAATACGAATTAAGGGCCAACGGCCGAAAACGGAATATTTTTAAAAGTGTTTAAATAACACAGTAAAATGCATTTACGCATGGACAACAACTCACTAAGTTTTGTAGAAATCGCATGATTGGTGTAGGAGCGCATACGGTTTGAAAATATATTTATATAGCTCATATTAAGGAAAAACGAATATGAGGCCCCTGGCTCAAAAATGAATACCTTAAAACGATTGTAATAATTTAGAAACCTTTATAGACAAGCTTGCAACATCTCACGAAAGTTTTTTTTGGAATCGAATAAATGGCGTAGGAGCTTTTATGAAAATTATTTTTTACAAAGCTCATATTAGAAAAAAAAAATTAAGGGCCAACGGCCGAAAACAGAATGTTTCTAAAAGTGTTTTAATAACACAGTAAAATGCACCAGCGCATGGACAACAACTCACTAAGTTTTGTAGCAATCGCATTAATGGTGTAGGAGCGCATACGGTTTGAAAATATATTTATATAGCTCATATTAGGAAAAACGAATAAATACCCCCTGGCTCAAAACTGACTAATTTAAAACAATTGTAATATATTAAAAATGTTTATGGATATACTCGCAACATTTCACAAAAGTTTTATATGAATCGGATAAATGGCGTAGGAGCGCATGTGGAAAATATTTTTACAAAGCTCATATTTGAAAAAAAACGAATTAAGGGTCAACGGATAGGAACGAAACACTTGATAAGGTTTTTAATGTCTCAGTTAAATGGCCAGTTATGTGGACAACAACTGACTAAAGTTTTGTCGCAATCACATGAATGGTGTAGGAGTACATGGGAGACATACAGACATACAGACTTTACAGACATACAAACATTCATTTTTATATATATAGATTTATCAAAAATTAACGTTAAAAAACATGTGTTTTAATTTCGTTAGTTTATTTTGCTAGAAACGTGTGTCATACGGACTTATTAGTCACATCTGTTAGATTTGAAGATGAATTTTCAAGTGATATCAAAAATGCATCTATTGTTCATGGTACAAACTTAAATGAAACCTTTTACTGACATGTGAAATTTTGTGAAACTCCCATACCAAAGTTGTTTATGTGTATGTGGCTCAAATCAAGGCACACTATATCCGATGTTGCAGACATACTTTATATTTAACATTTATTATATTTACTCATCAATTTACGAAAAAACTTTAATCTGTTACATTCCCTATAATGTCGTATATTTAGAATCAAATCTGTTATTTCACCTCTAACATTTTATTCTTAGATTTTTTTCCCAATACCCTACCAATAATAAAACCCTTCCAATAAATTAATCCTACCAAGACAGATACCTTACCACTGCTGATATCATACCAATACCATAATAATAGAAATATCCTACCATTTCAGATATACTACTAATTCACATTTCTTGCTAATACAGATTCCCTACCAATAGAGATACTTCACCCATACAGATAACCTACCAATACGGATATCAGCACAGCACAGAAATCCCACTAAGGCAGCAGTTTGTTGTCCAACTTCTCATTGCTGATGAGGAATACTAGTTCTTTTTAGATAAAAGATTGGAGACTAGGCACGACCTAAATTTATATGAGGCAAGATGTAGAATTAATTCAGGAAAAAAGGTCAAATACTGGAGAAGTTGGATTATTATTTTAAAGGTAGAGACCGACCGAATTTCGGCTTCGGTTTCGGCGCAGAAAGTGACCATTTTATCACTTTCGGCTAAGTTTCGGTTTCGGCTAAAACTGAAAAGTTAACTTTTGGCTTAATTTCGGTTTCGGCCGAAAGAGAAACGTTAACTTTCATTTTTTTTAGTTTCGGCCGTAACTGACTTAGACTTTTGGCCATCCGCCTTGAAGGGACTCAGGTTTTCGGTCATCTAATACTCAGCGAAAGCGATATTTAACAAAAAACTAAGCCACATTTCAGAATAAATTGAGTGATCTTTGAGAACAAACTAAACGATATTTAACAACGAAATAAGTGATATTTAAGAACAATCTAAGCGATCTTTAATATAAAAAAACTAAACGATCTTAAAGAACAAACTAAACGATTTTTAAGAACGAAGTAAATGATCTTTAAGAACAAAACAAATAATATTTAATAGTAAAGTAAATGATTTAAAAGAATAATCTAAGGGATCTTTCATAAAAAAAATAAACGATCTTTAGGAAAAAATTAAAAGATCTTTAAGGAAAAAAAAATCGATCTTAAGGAACAAAATCAATTTTCTTTAAAAACAAATAAAGGGATCTATATGAAAAAACTAAGCAATCTTCAACAATAAAATAAGCGATATTTTTTGAACAAACTAAATGATCTTTAAGAAGTAACTAAAAGTTCTATAAACAAAAAGTAAGCGATCTTAAAGAACAAAAGAAGCGATCTTTAACAACAAGTAATTGATCTTTATGAGCAAACTAACCGATCTTTAAGAACGAATTAAGCGATCATTAACAAAAAACTGAACGATCTTCAACAACAAATTAAGCGATCTTTAAGAACAAACAAAACGTTTTTTAACAATAGACTAAGCGATCTTTAAAAACAAATTAAGCGAACTTTAAGATTAAACTAAGCAATATTTTAGAACAATTTAAGCGATCTACATGAACAAACTCAACGATCATTAACAACAAACTAAACGATCTTTAACAACAAAGCAGGTGATCTTTATTAAAAAACTAATCGATCTTTAAGAAAAAAACTTTGCGGTCTTTAAGAACAAACTAAACGATATTTAAAAACAAATAAAACGACTTTTAAGAACAAACTAAGCGATCTTTGAGAACCATGATCAGAACAACAATTTTAATAAACCAGGTTTTAAAAAAATAATTTTCGCAACCCATTGGGGTGAGGGAGGCTGGTCTCCGAACGAAATAATTACGTTACCAGCACGGAAAGACTATTGTGTTTTTACTAGATTAAATTTTTATACAGTGATATCTTACACGCTATTAATGAAAACACAAAGCATCAGATTTACAAAAACAGCGAAACAGTATGGTGATATTTGTATAGCCTTACTAACATATTTTATTAGTTAGGTGGCAATTGCTATATCAGAGCAAATTAGTTTAGGTAAATGTTTTAGGTTGTAATTATATTATAATAGCAAAGGGCACTCAAGAGTCTATCCTGCATTATTTTTCCCCCCTTCCCCACATTTTTTTGCCAACATTTATCCTACCATACTAATTTTAAAAAAAAATAAATTGTAAATCAATTTAAATTACTTTTATATTAAAATGGTAAAATCCAAAGTATTCATTGGATGAAGGGTCTCCAACTCTAATCATCATGGGGAAACAGGAGGTAGTGTCTTAGTGAGAGTGGGCCGCATCAAGTATTCCACAAAAAACCGATTACAACTGTTACAATCTACTCAACCTTTATAAATAACAATAAAAACATGAAGGATTCTCAAGAAATATGATTCCCTTTTTTTTCCACCAACTCACTGTTGCTAGAGACCTTCGCAGTGCTTCTCTTTACACAGCTGAGCAACTTTGGCTTGAGTGAAGAAGCAACTAAGACTCTCAGAATATCTTAAAGATCCTCATCAGTATATTTTGTCCATGAACTTTCCCTTGTTAAAGTACAAATTGGAAAAGAGCTATTTACAAAGATAGGTACTCCCAAAAAGTCATATGTTCCATTTGAAAAACATAAACATTTCAGGGAAAGTGGAGGGCAATGCAATAAAATGTCTATGCTTGTCTGTTTTTCCATTCAGCTCCTTGCGTGGGGCATCTTGCACTTTAAAGGAAAAAGTTTTAGCAAAAAGCTGAAAAGTGGCTGTCTGTGTTTTGAAATCTAAAAAATGTAGAGACTCAGACTTGGTAAAGAGGTATAAGAAGAAGATTTAGAAAGTGAACTAGCTGACAGGAGCAGAATTTACCTCACTCGTGAACACTAGCGGCAATTTTAATATGGACACTTTAATAATGTATCACATTCCTACGATTTACACAGTTATGGTTGTGTATTACCCGCCAACTTACTTTTAAAAACTTTTCTCAAAGCCTCACTCTTTGCCATGTTTGTTTCATAAAAAGTTATAAAATAAAAACTTTTATTTCGAGTTTAAAACCGTTCTTAACATCATAATCATCATTCAAAAATGAATAGAAACATTTAAAAAAATCAGAATTAGACTAGTCGGTTATATTCGACTGAAACGGTCGTGGCGATCCATGTTATAGATATGCGAATGGGGGAAACGTGCCATGTCATGTAGCTGGCCGCAAGTTATAGACCACTATATTAGATTTTAATTTATTAATATTCACGATTATTTCATTTTTTTATAAAAAGAATATTTATACTCTCCCCATCATTTTCGATGTATGCAGAATGTATGCGGTAACGAATTTCAAAATATCTAAATATTTCATTTTTGATTTCGGCTTCGGTTTTGGCCGAACGCCATTTTTGACATTCGGCCTTTTTTCAGTTTCGACCGAAAGTTTTTTTTAAACTTACAGCCTATTTTCGGCTTCGGTCAAAGTTAGAAAATCACTTTTGGTCGGTCTCTATTTAAAGGACAAACTAAATTCAGAAATTAGACAAAATGATGATTACCAACAACATCATGGAGAACCAGACCCTTGTATAAACTCTCCAACCCTAGAAGCAACTAGAAAAATAATCAATTATATTAAAAACAATAAAGCGCGTGGAGAAAACCTACTCACGTCCGAATTTATTAAATATGGAGTGAAAACTAAATTCTCAGATACATAAACTTATAGCTAAAATTGGCCTAGACGAGAAAATTCAAAAAAAAATGTAAACCAGAATTAATTTTAATAAGAATTTTAATATATTTTTCTCCTTTTACAGATACTTAGTTAAGTAGCGAGGAAAAAGTATGAATACATTTATGAAAATAAATACATCACACAATCCGTAAATTATAAAAGGAACAAATAAATGTGTATCTATTTGTAAATAGTTGTCCAAATATATATATACACAGGGTGAACAAATAAAAGTGAGAACATCTCTTAGCATATGAGTGATTTCAAAATATAATTTAATTAATTATAATTCTTCATGGAATTTTTTTTTTTGCAAAATATTTAACTAATCAGAAATCATGTTCAATATGTCCTCCTTGCTTCTCAACGACTTTTTCTAAGCGTCGACGACATTCGTTTATGCTTCTGTCAATGAAACGTTGCCCTAGATTTTCGCCATTGCTAAAGTAGTAACTGCATTTATCGGAGCAAAGGTGTAACGTTTTATAAGAATTAAAAAACACGTTTTGAGATTGTATAAATAAAAAACATCTGGTTGGTGTTAGTGATAGTGAGACAAAATTATGTAAATGATTACCTCTTGCACATAGATTGATTTGCTAAAGCACTGATTACCCCACTTTAAAAATGAATTATATTTCATTTTAATAGTTTTTATTACATACAAACATTTAAAATTGAAAATTATTAAATTTCTATGTTTGGTATTCAATATTTGAATTCACATTCTTTTTAAGTTTAAAAAAACAACAAAAAATTATTATCTATGAAATCGGAGCATATATTCAAGGACACCATCCCGCCGTATCAGTAACGCTTTAGCGCTTTAGAAATAAAAAAATAAAAAATCAGCATAATAATATTTTAGAAAACATTATTTTTTCTTATTTTTGCACAGAAATGTTATAAATGTGAATTAAGTTTGTACGAAAGTTAATGATAAAAGTGTTTTGAATGAAAGTGGCAAGGCGAACTTCGAAAAATTACAGCAAAAAAGAAACTTTATTCTTAATATGCAGACTTTTTACATATTAAATTTATATTAGTAGTCAGACATGCAATTCATCAATATATATATATTGAATTACCGGGATTCAAAATTATCCTACGAGAGATGCGGCCGTGATTGACATTCTAGAATTGGCCTAGTGAGCCACTTGTCTAAGTGTAGAACTATATAGCTACTCCATCGTCTCACGAAGATGGAAGGATGCCATATATATATATATATATAAATATATATATATATATATAATTTAAATAGCTTCAAAGCTAATCTGTCAGGTTCTCACGCCAACTAAAAACATAATAAGATACTCGTTTTAAAATTGTTTTGTAACAATTATTTTTTAAAAAATAATACTTTTTTTAAAAATTATGATACCTTCACTTAATGGTGAAAGTGTGCACTCAAAGACTTTGTGTTTGAAGAAAGAAGTTTTAAATCTATTTAAAATAAATATATAAATTCAAATATGTAATTTATTTATTGATAGATACTCTGTATTTGCCATCCTAAGCGTGTAGAGGGTACCGCCCCATGTTGTATTTTTGGGAGGCGTTAATTTTTTTAAATATTTTTTTTTTAAATATAAAGTCTCAGATTTGAAAATGTATTTTTTCCGAACAACTAAATCTTTTCAAAACTTCATCATAATTAGTGTGTCTTTCTTGGCTTTTGGATATTATGACTTGAGCTTAAAATCGGGTAATTTAACAAGATAAAAAAATCCATAGAAATTTAGAAAACCTTAAAGCAATGCAAATTCCGTTTAACTTTAAAATCAAGTGTTTCTCTGTGTGACCAAAACAAAACATAACAGATCTACACTTTCACTGCCTAACTCACATCAAGCAGTTTTACATTATTTACTGATTTAGATACTACCATTTCAGCATTAATTTTTACTTGTTAAAACAAGTTTGACAATGATATTATTTATTGTCTTACATAGTATTTGGTTAATATAAGTGTCGCACATGTTTTCATCATCATCATGTCCCTTAGTCCTTGGACCAATGAAAACTATCCTTCTCCATTCGTCTCTATTTTCTGAACGTCTCACAGCATCCACTAGTCTTAGCTCTGTCCACTCTGTGATGTCATATTTCTATCTTTTTTATCTGTCTTCCTCTTCTTCTCCCTCCTCTCGTTGTGCCGTGCGTGATTTCTTTGGTGAGTCTTTGTTTTCATGTTACGAGATAATACCATTCCAGTTTGCGTTTTTTTACATTTTTACTCATCCGTAAAACAAGAGATATATACTTATATGTTGAAGAAATCATTGTGCTGTAAAAAAATGTTCGTTTTTTTCCATAAAAAGACTTTAAATGACCATTTTGTTAAAATCTTAAAATTACATTTGTATCAAACTATTTAAATGACCAGAAATCCAAACATCAAATGCCCAGAAATGCAAATATTTGAATGACCAGTATATTTAAAACTTTAAAATTTCAGAAAAACAATGAAATTAACTGAAGCTTGCAATGTTTTTTTAATGTCATAGCAACAGTTACGCTCAGAACGCTAAGAAACATTAAACTTATTTGATCAGGGAAAATCTTTTGAACCTATCAACATATATTGATTCACCATAATATTCCCTTTCTACTACAGTAAAACCTTGATGTTTTTCCAGCCGTTTTAAAATTCCATAAATATATCCACTTCACTGTAACTACTATATCTACGGCGATTATAAATCATGCTATTTAATTGTGTTTTTTTTTCAATGATGTCTTTAATCTGAAAGAATGCAATGATTTTGTAATTGACAATTACTTCGTGTATGAAGGAGCAATGCTACACTTTTTAGAACTAGCCAGTCTAACCACTTGTTGAAGATACAATGTTTATACTCGTTCTTTGAAAAACTGCCACTGTGAACACTTAATAGATGCCAGACTTGACAGTATTTGAATCTTTTCATGTATCCCATAGGCCATTTGTTACAAAATACGTTGACTTTTCTTTACCGCTCTGAATTCTTTATGCTCAGTTGACAGCATCAGCTGTTCGTCAAATATCTGTCTGAACGCATAACTTTGCGTTACAACATAGTGCGTTCAAAAGGAAATTTGACAAAAATTTGACGAAAATTTGATTGTGTAAACTGAACATTTTAACCTTAACTTAACTCTAAGCTTCTCTAAACTTTTTTAATTACTTATTCTTTTGTGTGTCTTGTGATCTTTCTTATCTCCTATATAAAACGTATAAGACTATTTTTATTTTCTTTGATCAATCACAAGAAAACAAACAATGGACAGCTACGGAATTTGAAAGGGTAAATCCTGCTGAAATGCAGATGGCTCTTGGCAAAAATCCCCTTATAACCCCAAACTTAAACAAAAATGTAGAGATTTGGAAGAAACACAAAGACCATTTTGATGGTTTCGAGGGCGTTCCAGTTATGTTGGGCTTTTTACAGTTTATTGTTTTGCATTTGTGTGTGTGTGTGCGTGTGTGTTTGGAGGGGGGGGGGCGTAGGTTTGCACATTATTACAAGTTTGACTAATCGTATAGGATTTTTTTTCCCTCTTGAATTGTAGATCAGACCTTATAGTCATTAAAGCAATAGCGAAGCTAAGAAAAGTTCCAACCCGAGTAGGCAGAGATTTGTACCCCAGTTAACAAAAACAAAACTATTTTGTTGGTTAATTTGCAGATGCCTCGAAAAATTACAAAATAAATTATAGCTCCCAAACAAATTTAACACGGTCATTCTTCACAACCAAGAGATAGTATCTGGAAAGTATGACATGCTTTACTTGTCTCAAAAGACGTAACTTACAAAAAACAATCGTAAAACGTAAAGGTTCAGACTAAAAAAATAGAATAAGTTAATAGCTTCGATGGATGTTCAAGTTCATTATTTTGTATGTTCTACAGTTCACTGAGTTGTTAAGGGGCTGAAATGGGGGGGGGGGCGTTTTACAATATTACAAACCTAACTAATCTTTTTATTTCTCGAAGCTAGTTGACCATGCGTGGATGTCATTAAAAAGTTAGTATAAGTTAAACCTGGGTGAGCCACGATTTTTGTCCCCATGAAAAAAAAAATGATCAAAATGCCAAACATACCTATAAAAAAAGAGCCATCCATGGAAGACTTCTTCCTCCATTTGTCACTCTACGCCACTGACCTGAAGACATATTTCCACCTAAGGAACTATACGTTCATTTCGTTGGTATTCTGTGTTATATTCCGAAACTCGTATTTTACCTTGAGACCCTGAATGATATTTAGACACACCCTACCATGGCTCTGAAACCCTTGAGTAAACAATGTTTGAAGTTTGACATGGCGTTGTGAGGTGGTGATTCACGTTTAAGATAACAGTTAAGACTGAAGGGATAACTCAAGATCACGTGAGAAATTAATCTAGAATGTGTATTCAACTAAATGTTCTTATGGTCAATTTCTTTCAAAATAATGTGATGCATAAATGGACTCAAGGAAATTCAACGGTTGTAGTAAAATAATTTTTTAAAATATTTTGGAACATAAACGAATGAAAAAATACCCGTTATGACGTGTCCATTTGACCCGTAATACCCATTCAAATAGCAACGTGACTTATAGTCTTATCAAACGTGATATGTAACGTTAACGCCCAGAAAATATCACGTAAGCCACGGACTAGAGCTCTCTTAGCGACAAACCTGGTCTAATGTATACAAACATTTACGCAGTGGCGTTGTTAGAGGTGTGAGAGGATGGGAGGGGTGCGGACCACAGCGGGTGTCACCATCTCAGAAGTTGAGACCCAGATAAAAATTGCATATTTACAGAGCACACACCGCTCGGTCTAACCTATTTTCATAAAAGGATAACCAATCACACATACATTTTCCACACATGTAACCAAGCCAAATGCATGCATTATTTAAAGTTATATGTTGATGAGTAGGAAATGAGGTGACCCTATAATTTGGTCAGAGAAACACCGTTTAAAAATGACCTTTTACTCATTTATAGGATTAACCAGTGACGTAGCTAGAAGGTGTGGACCACAATGACTGACACCATTCCAGGGGTCACCAGCAAATTGAAAAGCAAAGCATCATTACAGAGAACACATCGCTCCGTCTAACGGAATTTCAAAAAGGATCACACCTGCATTTTTCACACGTGTAACTAATTTCATTGATGCGTAACACAAAACTTTTTGACCATTACTAGACGCTGATTCAATTTCCCCTAACTTTCATGAATGATAGGAAAAAATATGTGACTAAATTCTGAGAAATATTGAAACCAAATATAATATGTTCAGACGATTTTAAGTAAGTGAATCGAATTGGTACAAAATTGAAAATATTAAAAATGATTTTTACCCATTTTTAATAGCAACAAAATAATATTTTTAAAAATTTACTAAAGCTTTTGAGTAATTTACATACATTTTTTTTTTTAACCGGGTCTATCGAAACCACACAAAAGTATACACATTTATATTTTTACCGATTCTTCACTAACAACACTTCTTAAGATTAGAACAAGATTTTTATAAAGCACGAGGTTTTTTAAATGCTGTCAGTGATTTTACGTTTATCTGCTACCTTTACCTTTAAGCTAATCTACTCGAGGAAGTAATCTTACAAAGTAGAGTCTGCAGACTGAAGGCTTTACTCTTGACAAAGTGTTGACCACTTAGAGACTTTAAGATTGTTTCTGCATGAGAAGAGCTTTTACTTTGTGGACCATAATATTTAAAATGTACTTTTAAATCAGACCAATATGGAATTTCAGTAGAGAGAGCACACATGTTTAAGAAGAGATTGAAAGGAGAACAATTAATAAAAGTCAGACTCTCACAATGAGAAGAAGAGAGAAAGGAGATGTGGGTGATCACGGAAGCAGCATATATGTTTGGGAGTGTTCATTTCAGGAGTCCAATATCAGCAAGTAAAGAATAGTTATAGGTGTCTGTTCTAAAATTAACCTGTTTACCTATTTCTATGATGAACAATCAGAGGATGAACTTTTTAAAAGAACTACCTAGGCTTAGAATACACTAAAGGCAGCTGTTATTGAATTTCATAATTTTAAGAACAGTTCAGTGCATTTAGGAACGTTCGATATATCAGAAACACTAATCAAAATCTGAATACGTAGACGAAAAAGTAAATAATTTCATCCCTAATTTATTAAAGATTTAAGCTGTAAAAATAAGTCATATACTGACATGTTTTCCATGGCCGGAAATAGAAATACCAAGGTCACCTAATGGTATTAATTATAAACCTGGATTATGTTCATTAAGTCTTAATACAACGTATGAAAAACGTGTACAAGAACTTGATGAATTAACCAATCTAATATTCACAAGGATTTTGACATCGGGGCTTGTAGGGGATTATCAAAACTCGTAATTTCTTACTTAAGTGAAAAGTACAAGAACTTTCTCCTTTCTTGAACTTTATTGAAAAAGATTCCCTATGTCACGGTTTTTCATTGGGGGTTTTTCAATAAAAAACTTTTTAAAATAAAATGTAGATTATTTTAGCTTAGCTATCGCTCTATTTTATAGTTTTAAAGTTATGTGCTATTTGTTTGAGAGCGTTTGATAAGCTTTTAACATTACTTATTGTTTCTTTGATTGCAATTTGAGCCAAATTTAAAGAATGAAATAATTTTAAAATTATTATGACATGCACATAATGGCGTGTTTCGAATTCCGATTAATAAAGTACTAAAACTTGGGTGAGAGAGGGGCGGTGGAATTTTCTGGATATAATATAACACGTTTTTTCTCCATGATACCTTGTCAAAATTTGTATTAAATAATCATAAATTGTTTAAATTGCTTTGGTTAACATCATTTTTTTTTTATATTTGATATTTGATTTATGAAACACCTTTGAAAAATCTTGTTAGGTGCTAAAATAAAATAATACTATTACCTGATGTAAGCAATCGTGGATGTATGATAAAGAGTTATGAATTTCCTATTCTAAAAATATGGAAACAGATAGATAATAATATAATGTATAATGTTGAGTTTTGTTATTGACATAAAATTTTCAGAAATAACTGGGGCCGGGTTCGATTGGGATAAATGGTTTTTTTTATTACCGAATGCCAATAAAATGTTTCCGTAATTATGTCAGTGAAACTAAAATGTAATACTTTCATTTTGCAGTTATATATCTAAGTACATTAATGCAGGTTTTTCTGAAGTTTTTTTTGTATTATTTTTAACTTTTTATTTAGCACCTTGGCCAGTATTCCTGTTCTTAATTTTTTTTTTTTAAATTTAAATATTTTGTATGCATGAAATTCTTTTAGCATGTGTCTTGCCCCAATATAATATCCTGTGGCCTCTGAGGGGTGGGGGTCATATCATTCACTCGGGGAAAGACTGCTTTCGTTAGCAGCGTATTAATCGTCTCACATGACTTGTACGTGTCAGCTGATTGTTTACACAAGCTTGTGTGGCCGAGACAGAAAGGCAAATACTGTTATCTTTGATTTTTAGGGAAGAGTAAGCCGAAAAACTGGCCAGAAAAAAAATTCCTATACCAATTAATTTAAATCGGCTATTTAGCTGTTCGGTGCAACCCTACTTAGTAGCACCAAGAAATACTTTTAAACTGATAATTTGCGTTGTGTAAAAAAAAAACAAGTGTGGGCGGGGTGACTAAGAGTTACCTTGAGCGGCTCATAAAACAAGTTACACTATTATTAAGAGACCTAATTTCCACATGCATTTGATACATGTTTAACTAGGATAAATTATATTTTATTGATTTACTCCTATATCCCATGCTTAATTCACGAAGGTTTTTTTTTTTTTTTAAAATGCTCTGACACTAGACATGTTGCAATGTGCAATGGATACGGGATGATTGTAACCTTAAATTTTTAACGTTCAAGCTAGTAAGTCTTTTGTGATCAAAGTGTCACTAAGAAGTGTTAGCATGATACTAGTAGAATCTAATTACGAAAACGATAACAATCTTGTATATCTATTTATAATATTGGTAACTTTGTTTTAAACCTACGCATTACTGTATGTTTTTATAGATAACTTTGCAACAAGGTCTTCTTGCAATTGGTTTGAGGTACTATAGCTCTACTTGTGTATCGAGATAAATTGTAACCTCGTCCATATCAAGATCTATGCATATACTAAGAAAGATATTAACTAACTTATAAAGATAACTTTAAAAAAAATATAAAGATTTGAACTTTAAAACATTAAATTGAACAATTAAAAGACTCTTGTAGCCTTTCATGCTTCATTGTAATCAAAAGAATATACTTACAAATAGTTTTAGAGCTCCTCTATATGGGCGATCAATGGAAAGCCTATCGTTATATTTAAATTTGGAAAATGTCGAATTAAAACAAGGTATTTTTTTGTCAGAAGCAACATTTGAAACTATTATATATGGGCGTTCACATTATTGGTGAAGGTGGGTTGGTGGCTCACATGACCCAACCAGGAAAATAATATTTTTTTTGCTCAAAATATTAATATTTGAACGATGTCCCTATGAATATAAAATAGTTTATATAAATGTCAAATGTTTTATTTAAAATACTCACGAAGCTAATTGCCAAAAGACTACAGACGTAAACTAAAAAAAATACTAATTGATTACCAATGTTGATTTAGGCAAAACAGATCAACGACAGATCAGATTTCACCATCAAATGCCTATTAGAGGAATATTATGAATATAATATTCTATTACATCAACTATATGATTGCTATTAAATAGCCTATTACAGTATCAAAAGGAAATATCTATTTGATTCTCTGCAGTAGGCTGTCAAACCCCCAAAAACAGGCAAGGCTGATACATGTAAAACCTGGCAACTCAAAAAGTAGAATCAAGGTTCAAGGAGAATATTCAATAGAATTTATGATTGAACAAGGCCTATGACAGGGAGACTCACTGTTTTATATGCTATTTAACCTGACATTAGAAACATTTATAAGAAGCGTACATATTGACACCCAAGGTACAAAAACAAGATACATTCAGAGGGAAACCCAAGACCAACAAACAGTAAACACTCTCTTCATTGAAGACCTTAGGTATCTTGCATATGCTGATGACATAGCACTGCTAGGGAAAAGCATTGAAGACATTTCTAAATCATATATTGAATTTAGAAGACGCATCATTATAAGCAGGGGTCGAAGTTAGCAACCAAAAACAAAATACTTGTCTATGGTAAGAGAAGAAAAAAGCAGATGAAGCCATTAAAATTAGAAACCAGACTTTAGAAAAAGTACATCGATTTAAATACCTTGGATCTTCATTAAATGAAAGAATTGAATAACTAACAGAAAAAAGAAGGAATATCAGCCGGAAACAGGGCATACTTAAGTACGGTAGTCAGAAAAACCTCATTTTTATAAAAATGACAATAGAAACAAAAAAAAACTATTTATATAACTGTGAGCAGTCACGTTGTAACATATGCAAGTGAAACTTGGACCCTAACGTAA